CTCTGACTCCGATCGTGGTGATTGTGAGGGGTTCTTGACCTTTCCCCGACGGAGCGCCAAAAGGTACTCTAGTAAATTGCTTATGGCTTGTGTGATCCTCATCTTGTGTTGGTTGTGCGGCACCCTATTGAGGGTTTGGCGAGTGATGCCAATCAGCGCATGAACCTCCAAGTGAGTGAATCGCCACAACGAGGACTAGCTTGCCGGCAAGCAAGTGAACCTCGGTAAAAATCATTGTGTTCATCATTTGATTCCGAGGTGATTGATCTACATTGGTATTCATTATTGTGATTGATTGGTTCCTACCACTACACGGCGGTATAACTCTCTTGCTCACTCTTACATTACCGCAAACTAGTTATCAAGCTCTTTAGTGTAGCTAGTTGTGAGAGCTTGTTTGTTTGATTAGTGTTGCTCTTTAGTTAGTCTTTGAGAGCACACTAATTTAGCTAAGTGTCATAGCTATTGTGTGGACATACACTATTCGAAATAGAATTGTGGTAGATGGCTTGTATTTTAGTAGGCTAGCGCAACACTCGCTTCGCCGCAAAATTGTCTAACACATTTTGTTAAGTGTTGTTGTAGAATTTTATTAGGCTATTCACCCCCCCTCTAGCCATTAGGACCTTTCACCCGTGTACATCCACTCACGGTTATCCATCCTCTGGCACATGCATATGTAAGCGAGTAATAAAAACTGCAGGTAAATCCACAAGGCGTTCCTACTATACATCTAATAGGTGAAGGATAGGTCATAATCCCACCTGAGGATGCGTAGATGAGGTTGGCTTCCATGGTCCGCTCCTATCCAAGATGCAAATTTTGGAAGACACCTCCCATTGTTCTCCCGATACACGCCCTGGCAGGGAGATTGTGTATCGAGGAGAACAACGAGGAGGTGGTGCTGAAACTCTGTCTTGGACAGGAGTGGGCCACGGAAACCAACCCATCTACGCATCCGTGGGCTGTCCAAAAAACGTGGACAATCCGAAACAGGTATGGAATTTGGTATGCAAAGATCTGCATACCAACGACCGTATCTCTTTCGGACGGAGACGCCTAAGCTGGGTTACACGAGATACAAGTATGGAAGATGGGTTATACCTAGGGTGTCGGTGAGGTCGGCTAGTGGGGCGGTGGCGAAGTCGGCTGCAGATGGCGGCGACGCAGTGTGTGGCAGAATCAAGCAACGCCGACGAAGACGATCGGGGTCGCCGAGTGCCTCCCAACGGTCCTCGTCCCCGCAAAGAAAAGGCAAATGGTTAGACTCCATTAAAAATTTCGGCAGCACCTCCCCTACACGGAGAGGTTCCCAAAACCTACAGAAAACATTGGCACGAAGGCCAACAACCATATGTATACCAAACATAGGCACGAAGGCCATCAACCACATACATACAACAATAACTACTACTAACACTAAAACTATGAACAACAACTACAACTACTACATCACTACGACTTACTAACTAATACTAACACTACTAATTACTACTACTACTAACACTACTACTTACTAACTAATACTAACATTAGGGCATACCTTGCCGTGCAAGAAGAATGCGAAGACCGAGGGGGGCGGCGACGACAACGGGACGCATCACTGGCTCTGGAGGGTCGAATGTAACCGAGGCGGCACCTTTCTTCTCCTCTTCTCCTCTTCTCCCCTTCTCCTTCTCTCCTCCCTCCTCCTCTCTCTCTCCCTGCCTCCTTCTCCTCCCTTCCTCCTCTCCTCCTCCTCCTCCCTCTCTTTCTTCTTCTTCCTCCTCCCTTCTTATCCTTCCTCCTTTCCTTCCTCCTCTTCCTCCTACCTCCTCCTCCTTCCCATCATGTAGGCATGGGTGGGCGCTGGGCCGAGAGGGCTGAGGAGCAGAGGCAGGCAGCAATGGTGACTATGTTAGGTCGAGATGGCGGACTAGGGGGGGGGTGAATAGTCTTTTCTAAAATTAATCTCGTCGGCTAACCGATATAAATGCGAATTAAAACAATCGGTCTAGCCAAGACTACACCCCTCTATATATGTTCACTAGCACCTTGCAAAGATACTAATAAAGCAACTAAGGTGCCGGGCTAGCTAGAGCTCTGCTAAACAATTCTAGGAGCAAGGTCACACAAACCTATGCCACTAGTACTTTAAGTAACAAGGGAGCTCCTACACATGCTAGTAAGCAAAAGCACAAAGCTAACTAAGCTCACTAGCAATGCTCAATAACAAGGCAACCAACGCCTAATTAGAGAGCGCAAATACTTAGCTACACAAACTAAGCAATGTGACTAACAAGGTTACTAAAACCAAATTAGCCACGCAAGAAAGCTACTTCTATGCTACACAAGCAAGAAGGTAATTAGCTAGCTACACAAGCTATCTTATTACAAGAGCATGTGATGATGTCCTGGTTTGTGAACACCATACGTGATGACGTCATCCAAACATTTTTAAATTTTTACCACCGCATATGCATGTGATATCACGACATCTCGCCAAGTTTCATGATTTTCGGGATTCGTTTGAATTTTATAGAACTAAATAACCACTCGCACGCAAGTTCACGACGTTGCCCCGTGAGCACGTTGATCGAAATTTGGAGACAGTTCCTAGATTTAGCATAAAGTGACACTAACAAACAAGAATAACATTTTTGAAATGGATCAAAACTATTATTCGATGCACCTGCAGTTCAAACCTACATTTTTTCGGAAAATTGCAAGAAAACGAAATAAAGTGAAGAAATATAGCAAACAGCAATGAAATTGTGCCAAATTTGAACATGTTGTTCATGGTACAAATACAAATCTAAGAAAAAAAGTTGGTGGCAAAAAACAAAAAAAAATTATTTTGCTGAGTGCCAAGGTTTGGCACTCGGCAAAGTGAATATTTTGTCGAGTGCTAACCCTAAGCACTCGGCAAAGCCAATATTTGCCGAGTGCCAAACAGAAGGCACTCGGCAAAGAGGACGGCGTTGGGTACCGTTATCCCCGGGTGCCTCTTTGCCGAGTGCCCAACTTTGCCGAGTGTCTAGCACTGGGCAAAGTTTAGCTTTGCCGAGTCCTTATTTTGCTAAGTGCCAGACACTCGACAAAGCCCTATTTGCCGAGTGCCAAGTTTCGCCGAGTGCGGCACTCGGCAAAGGTGGCCTTTGCCGAGTACCCGATATTTGACACTCGGTAAAGATTTGAGCACTGGGCAAAGTCCCGGTTTCCTGTAGTGTAGGGAAATAATAGTTGATTTGTCTTTTCCTTCGTTCTTTGGTACCTAGTACGTACATGTATTTTGGTCTCCCGGCTAGAAGCCCTGCGGGATTGGACGTGGAAGACAAAAATAATGGGTCTTTCCTTTTTTCTTGGTATACACAGTATGTAGATTTTAAAATAATATATTTATCTTTTTTCTTCTTTTCATATATAATAATAGCAGAGGTGGCTAATTTTAAAAATGTAATAGATCTAATGGTTACGGATCGCCAGTCTTTTGACTTGATGGTTTGATGTTTCTGATTAATTAATGTGAGAATTTTTTGTATTTATCTTTCTTTCTAGCGCGTCTGGTGAGAATTAACGTGGAGGCTTTGTTGGGGCCTCCAATTAGTAATAGTAAGATTTGTGCATTTTTCTGCAAACTTAATTAAAGTTGGAGAAGGTCAATTTAATTAGGGACAAAACTAAAAACAGCTTACAATTTCAAATGGAGGGAGCATTGAACGCGTTTGGTTCATGGAATGCACAGTTGCGGAATGATCCGATCCTAAATACTTCATTCGTCCTAAATTATAAGTCATTTCAACTTTCTTGAGAGTCAAAGCATCTCAAATTTGATCAAATTTATATAATAAGATAATAATATTTATGATACCAACTAAGCATCATTGGATTCTTCATTAATTATATTTTTATAGTGTACCTATTTCATGTCATAAATCTTTATAATTCTCTCTATAATTTTGATTAAACTTAAGATGTTTTAACTCTATAAGATTCTTGGAATGACTTATAATTCGGAATGGAGGGAGTACTAAACTAGCGACCACATTTCGTTTATGTCATGGGTCCAACCCATCCCTTACCGAGTAAGCTTGTTTCTGTGCACAAGTCCGTCACCGAGTCATTCCGTGAGAATCCATCGGACCACCTCATTCGGCGTCAACTCGTTCCGGATGAGATCCCTCCATAAACCAAACTGGCTGTTACATGGCTGTATCTTGGAATACCACCTGCTAATTAACTAGACGTATATAGAACTAGCAGAGAAATGAACTGATGCATCACAAGTCCAAAGCCCAGATGACCTTGATTTCGACCTGACCGCTGTCGATGCCGAAACGCTGCACCTCCTGTCCAGAGGGTTCAGGGCGGAAACGAGCAACGAGGGGTTCAGGGAGGGGACCCTCAGCCGCCGTGTGGTTACAAGAAGCGACCGAAGTGTGCAGGGCGGCCACTATAAGCAGGGGCGGATCCAGCAGGGGGGGGGGGCTCAAGCCCCCCTTACCCATACCGAATCAGTGCAAATTACTGTAGAGCCCATATGAATTTTTAAGCAAAGTTCTATAGTGTAGGGGGGCTGAGACTTAAGATCGAACAGCAGTGTTGTTCAGCCCCCCCTAAAATATTTCCTGGATCCGCCGCTGGCTATAAGGAGCTGCGAGTGCGAAGTGAGTGGCACCGCAACAACGGACCGCAACAAGGGGACGTGGGAGTCGCGGGTGACAGCCACTCTCTCTGCGTCCTGGCAGAAGAGCAGGCTCTGGGCATCGAGATCTCGACACCTGGCAGTTATCCTGCCATGGACGAGGATGTCGCCGGCGGCGCCTTGCTCGGCAGCGAACAGGAGCCTGACCTGCACGGTGGCTTCCACCGCGTTACTCAGCACCGCGTAGGTCACCTCCAAGGGCCCATGGCTTGTGCTGATGGTCCGCGTCAACACCGTGTCGTAGGCTGCATAGTTCGCGTCGTCGTTGTCGTCGTTGTAGCAATCCCAGAGCAGCGACGTCGTCGTCCTGCCGTCGCTACGGCGGTGGCCATCTTTCTTGGAGATGTCGATTCTGACGTAGTCTGTCTCTGGTCGTGGAGATGCCAAGTTCAACGTTGGAGTCTGTCTCTGTCGTGGAGCTGTCAATTTCAATGGAGACGCCCCCGTACGCGGAGATGGCCCTGTAGGGTCCAGTGAGCACCAGATCATGACCCTGGTCGAATTGGACACGTGAGAAAAAACATCATTCAGTCAGATGCCGATAAACCGACAGCAATATTTGAGGTGTTTGAATCTTGACGCTATTTCAGAAAACAATCAAATACAACTAACTAGTACAGTTAAAAAGAGAACCTATAAAAAATATGGAGTAATTCACAATTTTCTCTTTAGTCAAACACCGTACTGTAATATTCTATACTAGGGTGGGTGCACAGTGTAGACGAGAACTCACCAGCATCGACCCGTTCTCCCGCTTGCTGGTGATCGTCTTGGTCTGGCTGTGGCGGCTCCAGCAGCCAGTAAGCCCAGTCCAATCGTAGATGGAGCGCAGGTGGGCGAACATCCACTCGCCGAAATGTCGTCCATATTGATGAGTATCACTGTCACCATCATCATCGTGATCCAGTGAGCCCAACATGGTTCTTCTTCCAAGGTCGTCCTCGTCCGGCCTGTCGTCCTTGCTGTAGATGATCTGCCCGCGCATCCCGTCGAAGACCGAGATGGTGCCGCACATGTAGAAACCAGCGCGCATACCGAACATCTCCAGCATGCAGTGGCCTTGTTGCCCGAGGACGTGGGCGATGGTGGAATCGTCGTTCCAGTGCCTCAAGATGTCGCCGTCGTCAGCGCCGCTGTCACCGTCTGCCGCCGTATCGTGAGGTGGTAGCGGCGGCTGCGACGACCCTAGTGCCCTCGGGCCCGACCAGTTGAGCAGCAGCTGCACTACCTGGAGTGCCTGTCCCACGTTCCTGACATCAACTTGCGGAGCTAGAAGCTCCGGGGGCCATGCCGGAGGATGTGACGACACATACGTATACGTATACCGCCGCGTCCCGCTCCTGTACTTGTTCCACCAGTCCCAGCGCAGCACGGCGTGCGACATGAGCTTCCAGTTCCACAGCAAGTGCACCTGCCGCTCGGCGATGGCGCCCGTGCAGCGGTCCCAGCCATCGAGCACCGTCTCGAAATGCGGGATCATCCTGGCGGCCTCGCAGACCATGACGATGAGGCGCGCCAGGTGCCGCCTGGTCCGTTCGTCGACTCCGCCGCCCGCTGGAGCCTGCTCGTAGGCCGAGAGCCGGCGCACGGCGTCCCTGGCGAACCACCTGCCGAGCCCGAGCCCCACCAGGTTCATGGCGCCGCCGACGATGCCGCCGTAGCGGACGTCGCACTCAAGGAAGGTGGAGTTCCATTCCACCGGGAGGACCCGCGCGCTCCTACCGCCGCCGAAGCCGAACTCGTACCACTGGCCCCGCCGGTTCCGGAAGCCGATGAGGTACACGTTGTCGTCGCGGATTGCCAGGGTCGTTGCGTGGCCCTCGTTACGGACTAGCAGGGTGACGTGGATCCACCGCGCCGGCCGGTGAGGACTGCGTTGCCGTGGCAGTACCGGGTGCGGCGCGTGGTGGAAGTCCACCACGCTCTGGCGGTATCCGACGGGTTCGTACTCGGCGAGCACCGTGCGGAGCACCTCGATGAATTCGTCGTAGTTTTCTTCTGCTACGTCGTACTCGATTGTTTCGATGGCAGCTTCCATGGACCAGCTTGTGCACCTTAGCTTTTTTAGTGGCCAAATCCCTTGCGTGCACTATTGTCAAATCTCATGAGAAGCTAGCTAGCAGCTGACTAGCTAGACTACGCTAGAGGTACGTACCGTGTATCCAAGCTAGCTTCTTCCGATCCCATAGGAGGACCATGCCGTATGCTCTGTATATATGTATATAAGACGTGCATGGAGCAGAGATAGAGAATCGAGAGGTTCAAAAAGCATCCCTGTAATCTATTGATCAACAGTCATTGACGATGGGTCAACTGATGAAACTACCAAGTTTCTTCAAAGGACAAAACAACAAAATGGCCGTGTCAAAGAGCCCAACCAAATACTACGTACTACCGTGTGTCCGTGTGTACACTCAGACTAGCTCCTCCGAGAGGCAAGGCACGGCACTGCCTGCACGGCTGCACTAGTGGTGGTGGAGTGGTTAGCTAGCTGCAAAGAACAACGCGCTTAAGACACGAGAGCAAACAACGCGCTTGAGACACGAGAGCAAGTAGTATATAAAATTACGAAAGCGCGCATCTCCGAATGCATATTACTATTACTTACTACAACGCGTATGGACCGGCTGGTCTTCGGTTGTAATTTGATGGTGAGTGAACTGCTACTACGATCACCACGGGATACAGTAGTTTTGCCGAGTGCCATGGACACTTGGCAAAGTCCCCAAAACACTCGGCATACAACACACGTTATCTGTGTGTCGGCAAACAACTATTTACCGAGTGTTTTTTATCGCGACTTTCGACAAACATTTTTTTCAAAAATAAAAAAAGCCACCACCGGCAAAAAAAAAAACAACCACCGCCGTGCATGAGGGCGCCGGAGCCTCACCCGCGGGGGCCGCAACCATCGGAGCTGCGCCCGCCGGAGCCCCGCCGTCGCGCGAGCTCTATCCCTCGCATGAGCCGCGCCGGCCCGCTCGCGAGAGCTGCCCATGGCCGCGCGACCTCCGCCCTCGCCTAGGAGATGTGCCGCCGCCGCGGCGCTCGCCTACACGCTGGAGCCGCCCGACATATGGCGCGACCGGGAGCGCGCGACGGGAGGAGCGCTCGCCGCCGCCATGTGGGCCGCGTGCTAGCCCCCCCGCCGCTTTGCTGCTGGCGTGGCACCGCCGCCGCCGCCGCGTCTTTATTCTTTGGCGAGGATGGCGCAGGCGGTCTGCCAGTCGGTGCGACACGCCTGGGACGCGAGGCGCGTGGATCTCCACCAGGCTGCCGGGCGCAGCGGGTGGCGCGGCGCGGCGGAGAAGGCGTCGAGCACCGCGGTGGCCTCCATGACTGGATTGAGAGGGAGACGAGAGATGCGAGAGAGGGAGACGAGAGAGATGCGTTGAGGGAGACGGAGGGAGATATTTCTCCATTCTGCTGGAGATGACATCATGTTGGGCCCACATGTCATTCTCAGTAGAGAAACACAAATGAATTGGCGGTGGAAATAACTCCACGTGGCCTTCCCGTCCAAGAGGTCCACGTCAGTGATCCGGGGCTGATCCAACATGCAATGGCGGCGCAGAGAGCGAGGCGGGATGGGCAGTGTGGATTCGATTCCTGCGCTGGGTGGGTTCAAGAAGATTTTTTTTGTTTGCTGGACACTCGGCAAAGTTTTTTTTTTATTTTTTTCTCATTCTTTTTTTCAGAATTTTTTTTATTTCTTTGCCGAGTGTTCTAGATCTGAGCACTCGGTAAAGTTTTTTTTTCTCCTTCTTTTTTAGAAAAAAATATTTTATTTATTTACCGAGTGTTGTTTTTTTATACTCGGCAAACTTTATCTTTGCCGAGTGTTTTTCTTTTGACACTCGGCAAACCCCATCTTTGTCGAGTGTTTTTTTTTGCCGAGTGTTTTTTTTACACTCGACAAAGAACCTATTCGCCGAGTGCCCAAGGAAATACACTCGGCAAACAAAAAAAACACTCGGCAAATTTGAGGATTCCAGTAGTGAATGGTATTGTTGTCCATCTCATTGAATTCGGCATTTGTCCTGACACTACTAGAAACTGTATATTTTTTGTGTGCCACTTATTTTTTATGACAGGTCTAAAAGGCTCACAGAGATTACAAATTTAATCTGTCGGCTCGCGTACCACACAGAAAAATTCCTATTATCCTGTCAGTATACAATACTCTCAGGGTAATCCCATGGTAAGCTGTCCAAATAAGTATGTCTTGTCTCTTTGTGTCTAACCAAGTATTACTTACTCGTACACCTATCTAGTTGTGCATGATTATTATTAGGGCTCTTATACTATCTATCATTCCTGATTCAGTTTAGACATTTGTATGTCCATCTATGGTTCTGTGTGAGAGCATGCATGAAGAAGACAATTGATGTGCAGGAATTCTAAAAACCAACTAATATATTTACATGGTAATGTCATTTTCCAGCTTGTAAGGAAAATGCACCTTGCATGGGTCTGGGTCATTATATGATTTTGGTGTTTCATGAAAAACACGATCTTTTAAACTAATGTCGTTCGCTAGTATACAAGGTTTAGTTCAAATGGATGTATAGATGGACATGGAAAAGGCAATGTGTAGATCAAGTAATCAATAAGAAAGGACATGGAGCAGCATTGAAGACCCTAGAAGACTTGCAAAAAGTCCAACACATCAAAAAGACAAAGCCCGAACGACAAGACACAAAGAACGGAGCTCATTGGTGGCTGTTTGTAGCCACCGGATTTCTCCGGTGTGACTCCAGGAAGCACTAGAAGATAGCGTAGCAGGGATCAGAGTTCGAGGTAGCTGCAATAGTATCACCAGAATTCTTTGGTGCAAGGTACTAAGAGTGCATCGGATATTTGTTGGGGCGAAGCCCTACCCTTGAGGGTCCACCAACACCCTGACCTTTTACTCGATTGGAAGTTGTCTATTGTTGCAAGTAGAAAGCATCGAACGAGAGCCTTTGAAAGATGAATCTGCAAAGGTCCCGCGAGGCACCCACCTGAAGGTCCACAGCGAAGGTCTCGAGAGACCGAATGTCTTTAAGGAAAAGGGGAGCTTGGATCCCAAAAAGGAGAGGGTTAATTGACCAACCACCATATTCCTTGTTGCCTCAGTATTTGTGTCTATTGTTTCGAAGGTTCTCACCTTTAGGTCCAAACCTGTGGGCCAACTAAAACGATCCCGATTTCCACGAAGGGAAATCCACAGATTCGAACCATAATGCGATAGTCCCAAATGATCATTCCATCACATTATCGGATAACAGTCAATATCAGAAGTCATACATCGAATACCTGTCTTACAGAGTACAAATAGCAAGGTTTACACATTATTACATCGCCACTTGGCGGAATCACTCAGAGCACACAGCATCTGGAACAGCATCAAATAGAACGGCAGCGGGCGCAGACTTCATCTCCTCCAACCAAATTCGAGCGTAGGCCAAGACCTCTAATCCTCCTAGTCGTCTCCCTGGTAGTCGTACTCAGTCTCGGGACCTGCCAAATAACTTTCAGTACGATTTGTACTGCCCACTGGCTCCCACCCTATGCTTTGAGATAGCTTTGTAGAAAGTGGAATGCAAGGGTAGAGCAAAAGACCTATTCATGGCTGTGGTTTCCTATGCGAGTATAATCAAGTTTTAATAGTAATTCACCAAGTTTAACCCATCTCATCCACACATTCTCCCATCCCAGCACACACATCTCACCACACTCTCACTCTCTAGGCGGTAAGGACAACTCCCTCTCATGCCTTGCCTCAACGGCCAAAGCCGAAAACCAATAACAACTCAGGGGAAGAAGAAGAAGGGACTCCTCTCTCTAGTCAAGTGAAGCAGTAACATAGGAAAGGTCCATAGCCAAAAAGATGGCATATGTATCGATCGATCAACCAAAACTCTGCATAGGTTTACACTATCCACAAGATCACCATCATCGACGAACCGGCTCATCTAGGCTGATTCCGAGCTGCCTTCCAATTAGTACGATGCCACCCTACCACTCAACCCTGGGGCACCCTAGAGTCCACCAGCACGCTCAGACTGTGAGACATAGTACTAGGCCCCCAGAGGTTACTACGCTGTCTTTGGAGGGTGTGAGCTACTAGCCCGTACCTCCCTACACTATCCGCTATCAACCTAGAAGTAGTGGCACCGCCCTAACTGGTCGGTCACCCGTCTCCCCTCCATTGAGGAGCGAGTGGGGTGAAAGGGTTCCTATGAACCGGTTCCCAGAACATATAAGTCCTTAGGGTGACCGAACAAGACATCTTCACAAAGGGGATAACCAACACCCTGTGCTTCAATAGCCCCTCCATCCTGGGGATTCGTCCCATGAAGACACTCCTCCCCGGGACCTTCTCATCTCACATGTACTCGCCACAGGTACCACTCACGGGGGATGCCCAGGTCACACCCCCCTGGCAAGACTCGTCCAAAGACTCATCGTAGAATCCTGCTCGGTTGACCCGACCCTCACCACACACCCAAGACACACGCCAAGATCTCCCCATGTTATTACCATATTATCGGCACCAGGTGTCACAACCACTAACATTCATTCTTCCACCAAACATCACATCACAGATATAGTGCGTAGTAGAAGTAAGTAGCAAGCAGTAAGCGAGCAACTAGCCTATCAGCGGGTGTGCAGGGGTAAAGGTTGCATCAAGGTAATGGCTTCAAGCAATTCTAACATGCAACCTATCATAGTGTAATTACAGAAAGTAAAGCACTAGTAGCTATATTATTGCATGTCTATTAGGATTCTACGAAGTTGGGTGGGACGTGGCACCTGCGGTCAGGTCGTCTCCAAGCTCCTCCGTGTAGTCCAGGTCATCCTCCTCAGTCAGCGGATCCTCTGGGTCTGTCAAACAAGACATAAAGCCGCGATAAGTGACTCAATTTTAGAAAAATTTGGACACTGGTTTCATATTTTTCTGAAATCATATGAATTTTCTACGAATTGTTGAAGTTTAATCTATTTTCTAAAAAAGAAAAAGACTCAAAAAATCCAGGGCTTGACACGTGGTGA